AAGTTTAAAAAAATGTAAAAAAATTGCTCATACGTAATTATGGATATAATTTTATATATAATTTTATAAATAATTTTTTTACATTTCTTCAAACTTGATTTTTCCTAAAACAAATAGCGTGAAAATTATTTTTTTAATTATTTTTAATGCTTTCGCATTACTATTATTATTTCTATTACATTAAAAAATAATTTTACAAAAGAAAGAAGGATGTATGAACATATTTCATATATAATTATACATGTTTAAGAATATTTATGGGTGTTTATATATGTTTATACATATTTATACATATTCATTGTATAAAAAATTGTTTACCTGAGGTGGATTAAACTGAATCGAAAAGTCCTCTACCATTTTGCAACTTCGCAATAGTCAACAAGATAACATTAATTTCTAAAGATTGTCGAATAATAACAGATAAAATCGACAATTAAGATTTAACTTTAAGATTTCTTTTAGAATTCTTTATAAAATATCTTAAAGATGTTTCTTAAAAAATTTTTTAAAACCGATATCTTACAGCTATTTTATATGATTTTAGACGTTCTGCCGCATTCTTCTCATTAGATAAAAACTCATTAGGTAAAAAAAAAGTTGTGAAAATTGCAAAATAATAAAGGACTCTTCGATTTAATTTAGTCCGCTCTATCTACACACGAGCGCTTTGTTAAAATTTATCGGACATCCAGTAAGTTTTGTGGAATTTAATAATCACCTCATATCAATTAAAATTTACGAATTCGTGAGAAGTCATTAATTATACATTGAATAAAATATATATCAGCTCTGTTTTCAACATAAAGGATAATTTCTTTAATGATATTAAATTTGTAAGAAATGGAATATACACACAGTGATTATTCAGAAAATGCGAAACGATTAACCTCATGATTGAATTGATCTCGATGTTCTTTTTATTCCTCCTCCTCCGTCTATAATTCTTTGAAATGATGTGGTGACTTCTATCATACAGATGACCTTACACGATCATTAACAAATACTGACAGTATTACTGATCGTGTGTGGTTAATATTTGATGGATTGACATAAGATATAGGATACTGATAGTGATTTAGATTTTGATTCTCAAGCATCCAGTGTTATTAAGATCCATGTCGCAGTATGTCACAGTGCAATAGATATTGTACGTAAAATTAAAATGAAATATATTGTCCATAATACTGATTGTGTAGGTTGTAAAAATACTAAAAATATTGATGCATACTGTCAATATTACTGATTCAGTATTACTGATCAGTATTATTGAACGTGTTACCTTATGCCTGTAGTGCGCATGTTGATTATACACACAGTCATAAATCGTATCACAATCTTTTTGTTACACTAACTGTTATGTATCTATAAAAACAAACTCGTCTCTACACGAGTCTCTATTATTGCATAGATCGAATCTCAATTCTCATAATAACGCGAATTCTCGACGTGATCAAAGTACCTATCACGAACATGTCAGACTGAATTCTGATCGGAAATATTCTGTTTTTCCTAAAAAAACAATAGAAATCTAGGGAATAATTGAATAATTCCGATCGGAATCTATTCCGATTCTTTCCATGATAGATGCTTAGTATCACACGTGTATCTACACTGCATTACAAGTAGATTTATTATGCGAGGGATTTTTAACTGTATTCACCAAATATCGAATATAATTGTCATATAGATATAAAAAAACATGTATGTATTATATGATAGTTATTATACATATGTACAAGATCTGATAAAAAAATAAGCAAACTTTTTAAATTACTCGGCAACGAAGCATTTTAGCGATTTGTAGCACTACAATTGTTATAATCTTTCGAGTAATTGGCTTTTTTTTTAAATCGTTTACATCTCTTTAGTTTTAGAGTTATTATTATTTGAGTGCAACGTGTTTTAGTGTTCTTCTCGAACTGAATTTTTATTTTGAGAATTGATTTTAATTTTGGGAACAAAAAATCGTAGAGAGCAAGATCTGGAGAGGCTGGGAGAGGACAGTCATCTGATTTTTGGCACAAAACTTGCGAATTGATAAGGCTAAGTGACGCATTGTCATAGTGAAGGAACCATGAGTTGTCTCGCCACAACTGTGATCTTTTTGCAAATTTTTTCGCGCAATCTTTTGAAAACGCCATTATAGTACTGACGATTGTTTGATCTTGAGGCAAAAATTGTAAAAATTCATTTCGAAGCAAAAATCGCCATGAACACTAAAACACGTTGCACTCAAATAACTCTGAAATGAGATGTAAACAATTTAAAAAAAAAGCCAGTTACTCGGAAGATTATAACGATTGTACAACATACTGTTAAAAATGTTCTTAAATTTTATTAAATTTTAAGTTACAATTTAAACTTAATTTCATATTACATTAAATTTAATGTATTTATAAATAAAAAGTATATTTGTGTACATATACATAAAAATTTAATGTATTTTTCATGACAATTTATGAAATTTAATGTACACGTTCATTACATTTAAGTAATTACTGTAACTTAATTTTCAGTCAAATTAGACTTTCGTTCGTAACCACGAGCTTCATTTACATGTAAAGGAAACTTGTGGTTACATTTCTAATAGTATAATGCTGTAACCCGCACATCACTAAAACGCTCCAAATAATTAAAAAAATTCGCTTATTTTTTATCCCTCGTTTATTTTTTTAGACCTCGTCTAAGTTTGCTGAGATATGATACAATCACGTTATAAACTGAGAAAGAGAGAGAGGCCAGAAAATAAATACCAATTATCCGCATTTTGTTTTCGTTGTTTTATCTTCTCTAGCGGCGAATAATTTGTTCAATTTGCCCCGATGTTGACGTCGACAGATATTTTGCACACACAATAGGCTTATTCGAAAATGCCGAGCATTTTATACTCGAAAAGTTCAAATTCGCATAAATGTCGCATAAATTTCGTTAATAAATCTGTCATCTCATATTTGTTATTCATTTGTATTTTTTTCTTAATTTTAAATTCAACATGTTTTTTTATACAAGCGGCTTAGCTCAGCATGCCATTTCTGAAAATAAATTGAGCCACTCGGCGAACTTGTTCAGGATACAAGTGTTCGAAAAAAAGAATGCAACTTCCTTCGAAATCTGATATTGGCGACGTTATTCGATCATGCCTTGTCTGGATGTTCTCGATAAAATAAGACGATCGATCGGTCGTAAGAAATGAACTTTTGCTTCGTTCTTTATCGAGTCGAGATGGAAGTTCAGAAAATAACTAATGAACTTCAACCAGAACATTCAATTTCGTCACGTACGGGAAAAACCGGCTCTAGCGTATGTTAATGTACATTAACAAGCAGGTCGTTTTATTTCTTCTTTTTCTCTTGCTTCTTTTGATCTTTTCTTCTTTTATCGCTTTTCATCTTACCATATCGCTTTTTCCATAGTGCTTACCATAGTGCTTTTTCTTCTCTTCCCTTTCCTGTTCTTATCTCTGAAAACAATATATATATATAAAACAATATATAATAATTATAGATTTGTTGTTTGTTCATTTTGTGTATCATATTATAATTGCGCATATTAATGTAGACCTGCTTCATTGCATTCTTGTCTATCAAAATTTTGATACAATGATATGCAAAGATGTATCGTATCATACACGGAAAGAAAGGAAATGAAAGGATTGAATTATATTTCGTTTGATTCTGGTTTCAGCTATTCAATATTAGTTCTATTTATAAAATTTCATAATTTTTTATAATTTATACGAAATTGAAGAAATTGTATCCGAGAGTATCATTTATCTGTGATTATCTTATCGTTTAAGCTTCAAACCATCCAGTGATATAAAGACGTTCATTATATCACAAAATTGTTTGCCGATGTCCATCTGTATCTCGTTCTCATTACTACGCATAACAAGAAACAACCTTGACACAAAAGATAAAGTTTATTTCCGTGAACATTTATATATTCTTCGATCCATTCGATCCATTTATATATTCTTCGATCCATTCGATCCATTTATATATTCTTCGATCCATTCGATCCATTTATATATTCTTCGCCAATATTCTTCGATCCATTATTTTCCAGAAACTAAATACGAAAGAGTGACACACGTATTGTACTGGAATCCCACGAATGCCAAGCTTTAACTTAAATGGCATTTAACTTAAGTGTCAATAACTGCTATAATTACCGGTTGCTAGCGGCAGATTATGAATTTAAAAAAAAATTCTTAAATGCTATTTTAAATGTAATTGTTATTTATCATTCAAAATTAATATTTATACTTCTTCAATATACATCGATTTAATACATCATATTCTAAAATCTGCGTTATCCAAGATCATCAGTGCAATAAATAAAATGTATGTATATAGATTATAAGTAATTAATCATGTGTGAATAATATTCAAGTCATCAAATTTCACATTAACATATAAGAAAATTACAGCAATTCTTCAATATTTGTATATAAAATACATTTCTTTTTCTTAATTCTCATATTTATTTTACTTGTTTGAATAAGCAAATCGTTACTCCTTAGCGAATTCAAATTTCTGATGATCACCGTTCTGTTATCATAAATATCTTATTATAATTTAATCAATAAAATAAATAAATTAAATCTTTCAAAAAAATTGTTTTGTAAAAAATCTATTTTTTCAATCTTTGTAAATAGACATTCATATGAAATCGAAATTGTCATTTCGATAAAAATAAAGGAATTTATTTATGTAAAACGCGCGCATATTCATATCACCGCATACATATACATCACAGAGATATAACATTTTATTATTTAATAAGTTTTCAATTGTAGCACTCTGCATTTTTTTGTACTCTTTGTACTTTTTTACGCTTTCTGCGCATAAACTTACATTTTGGACAAAGAAAGAAAACGGTAAAAAACCTTAAAAAGAATTAAGAATTAAAAGAAAAGTAAAGATGAATATAATGATTAATATTTATAATGATTAATATTTGGTAATTATTCTAGTACAGTAATGTTCAACCTTCTATAAAATCATGTTTAAAGAGCTATTTTTAGGAATGTAAACTCTCGTGGAGCGCATATTTATTTTATTTGTAATATAATAAATGATTTTATATTTTCGACTATGATGTGGCAGGTAAAAATCACAGGCGAATCACAGATTGCACATCATTGTTCTAGTAAATAATCTAGTAATAACTTAAAAAAATAAAGAAAGGATTAATATGATTGCTATAAAATAGGAACAAATATATTTTTCATTAGTGAACTCATAAAAAATGTGTTGTGGTTTCATATCATATAAAAACATTAAATTATGTAAATTAAAATATTAGTTGCTTAATATTTATGATGCTTTATAGTTATAAAATAAATTGAGGAATTGAAGATATAATGGTGAAAATTAAATCTTTTTTAATGTTACATCTCGGTATTATAATTAATCAAAGATAAAATTCATACATCTTGCTTTTTTTATGTTTCTACATTCATTCCATTTATTGCAACTTTATGACATCATTTATGCTCACATTTTCTTCAAAACTGTTCATTACGTCCAATTCCTCAATTTTTAATTATATATTTACTTCTGCATTTTATTTATGTGTATTTTGTACTTCCATTCTTATAATTACGTATGGCTGCATATAACTGAATAGGACTAGCAACTGTTGGCACAAAATACTACCTTAATTAATTACGTGTATTAAGAATAAATTTGTAAATTATATGTAATATAAATGCTATTAATAATATATAATAATGCTGTAAATAATATTTTAAAATATAATTAACAAATATGTTTTCTTAATAGTAACGCAAAGTTGTTATTGCAGTTGTCTAGCAATCCTATCTCGTAATCCCATCTAAAAAGGAATAATTTTTAAATGTTGATATATGATTAAATCAAAATGTATACTTTTAAAAAATATTAAATATATACTATTAAAATATCTTGTCTCTTAATATATCCATGATTTAGAATGTAAATATTATGTGTACATATTTAGAATTATTTTTTAATTATTATTACATTTTCCAGATTGCTAATAATGACTAGATATTACGTTATTCAAATTTTATATGATGTAATCAATCTAGAATTAAATTATATTTACATTATTTGGCTACTCAACAATATACGATCTTTTGCACATTTTTTACTATATATGTACCATTGCATTTTGAATATCTTCATGAGGACCCTTGCTTTTAGGCGGTAGTTTTGGTAAAAGTGCATCCACATTTATATCGACATGAGGATCTTTCTCTTTAATTTGCTTCATAGTTTCTTTACATACTTTGATTACTCCCTCAGCATTCAGACGACGATCATCGCTCCACAGTGGGCAACTACGTTTAAAGAAAATGTAAGATAATTTTGATTTAATTAAACAATAACATTAAACTGTCTAGTATTAAAACTCACAGATTTGAACGTTCTGCTCCTTGACCTTGAAAATGCTTATAATCAGTAACTGGTTTATCGCAAATATAACACATTTGAGCGCCACAGACACAAGTCATTTTGTTACAGCCTTCTTCTTTAAAGAACATTCGACTACAACGATAGCATTTCCGTACCAAAGCTTGAGTCATCTTCTCTTCCAAATATAAACGTGCAGATTCTGACTTCTTTTCGTTGCATTTCAATGGTATGTGATTAAGTTCCTTACATAATCTAATATCAAAACAATTTATTAATGTAATAATTTTAGTAATGTACAATCACGCATTTATTTCTAAATATTTTGTTTAAAAAGATCAATACTTTAAAATGCAATATATATCTCTCATGTAATATTTCTTCATAAATTCATGTTAAAACAAAGACAATAAACAAAATATAAAAAGTATTTTGTATATTTTAAACTATTCCAAATCGTTTTAATTTAATCAGACCGAATTTTAATAATAATAAGATTCGATAACAATATCAAAATTGAAGTAATAATAAAATTATACTTACCGACAAGATTCTTTCATGCATTCTGGATTAAGGCATTTGAAAATCTTATCTTCGAGTGGTGGTATAGATGCAAAATGACAAAAGGGACAAGATACTAAACCATCGACTCCAGCAGCTATTACCTCTGCTTCTTGTCGCTTACAAAGCAGAATACTAAATTTAGTTGGCGGTAATACTCGCTGAAGTATAGATAATGGAAATTCAGAACCACACTGCAATAAGCAATCAACGCGCGTATTGCCGTCTCCTAATACCACGTCTGTACTCCGTATAATACATGAATTGCAAAATATATGACCATCCTCACACGTGGAACACTTTGATGGCATACATTCGTCATCATAACAACATTGACATTCAAGCAATTCATTTTTTGCCTAAAAAAAGAAATTAAATTACGAAAAATAAAAATGAATCTAAAATATAATTTTGGTTTCTATTTTAAAGCATTACTTTAAGTTCATTAAATTCTTGCTCTTCTTTTGCTTTTACTTCATCTAGATATTTTTTAAGCTCTGCTTTATGTTGTATAAAAGCACATTCTTGAAGAAACGGTATATCTTCTGTTACAGTCGTCTTGTTACAATATCGTTTAGTTTTCATATCAGGGTTTAACGCCTCCAGAGCCTTCGCAGTTAAACTTAAATTATTCATATACTGACTATATGCCTTCACCAAAGTGTTTACCTGCAAAAAAGATAACTTTACATATATCATCATTATAGCTGTTATTTAATATCGAGATATTGAATAGCTTAGCTATAATGCAGTATCGCTAAGCAAAAGATTTAAGTTTATTAGTTAAGTTTATCTGTTATTTCACATATATGTACATATATGTATAAAAAATTTTAAGTAGGAAAATTATTATAATTTAATTACGACAAAGATAATCAAAATTATAAATATAAATAAATTTAAAGTAACTTAATAATATATCAAGCTATTGAGCTTCGTAAAGAAATACAATATACTCAAAACTTTACATCATGATATTGTCCTGTTTATCATGAATCATGATAAATCCAATATTCGTCGAAAATCCATTTAAAAAATTATAAATATGGACTAAAAAAATATCTTAATTGTATCTTAAATTAAACATACCCTCATTTTACTGAAGTAATATTTGAGAAAATCTACTGCGTGCGGATTGAATTCGCATTTCCTCTTATCATCTTCGAAGTACGCAAATGGATCTGGAAATATCTCTAAGAACTGTTTTACTTGAAAATCCGTAGTATACTGCTTTTGTTGTTGAGTAATCTTTTGTTTAGCCAGATGTTGCGCTCGCGTTGGATAATCAGGGTTTTCTAATTTTGACTGAACAAATTGTTTTATCCGTTCGGGATCACTATATATTTCCTCAGCTACTTTTCTTAAGTATACGGGGTCTGCTTCAGGAAATATCATCAGTAAATCCGCATATTGTTCATTCATATCATAAGATTTCGAAGTTGTTGCCTGTGTCTCTAATGGTTTTACTTGTTCTACCGATAAATTTTTTTGATCACAGTTGAGTAGCGTCTCAACTAAAGCAGCAACTAATGTTACTTCATCTCTCCCATCATCTTTCACGTCATAACATAATTTCTTAATAAAACTAGTTTTTACAGTTGGAAACATAGGTATTAATTTGACAAATATTTTAGTAGCTTTTTCATTTAATACTATTTCTTTTTGCTCAGCATTGTTTATTACTTCTTCCATCTTGTCCATGTATGTGTGTATTTTGAATTTTTTAATTCCTATTGCATCTTTTTTTTCTAGTTGCTCTACTTTACAATTCATTTTACTTGGATCGTACATTGCAATGAGTTTTGTTTGAGTTAGTATCGGTGACTGCTGCTAAAAAGAAAATAATTAATTAATGTTTATCTTTGTTCTTATTTCTATATATTATTATAATATAATAAAACTGAAACTATAGAGGAAAGATTTCTACTATGAGACACAGAGTTTATTTTGGGTAAATGCTAGCAGTCTATGGGCAGAATTTAAAAAAATAATAAGTCATTTTGAAGAGAATTTAATAAGCTTTAAGATAATGTAAAATTTAAGATAATGTTATGTAAAATTTAATTCAAATCTTTTTTTTGAAAATTAAAGAAATGTAAAAGTGAGCAAATCGAAAAATCAAAAAACTGCTCCTAATACGAGATACCCCGAGAAATCGATAATAAACCGCAAAGTACATCAATTAATTATTGCAATTAAAGAATATATTTAATATTTTTAAAATACAGCCAGTGTGTGCGCAAAAGGAGCATACGATGCATTGTACCCAGAACTTGTCTTCAGATAATTGGAACCAAACATCGTAGAAATAGGCTCGATGTTTATTCCGATTGTGTTTTTTATTATTGTACAGTAACATTTATACTTTAGCAACGATTTTCACTAATGTACAATAAAAGCATAGATTATTTCATATTAGAAATACTCTGGATATTTCATTACGATTTCCATGCCTTACGGTTTTATGATCACCAAATTTAATTCTATAATTAAGCAATTCAACATATCCCGTATTTTTCTGTTAGTATGATCTTACTCTGTCACTGTCTGAATAATTTATTGCCAAATATTTACTTATTAAATAATAAACAAAGTTTAAAAGTACATCTCATTGAAACTTTAAAGACATCCAAATTCTAAAATCTTTTTTTACAATGACAAACAGTCAGATTAAGAAAGGCCCCTTTTGGGCCTAAAAATTTTCGAACCTTTTACAACTTTGAAAAAAATACGAAACTAAAATACGAAATACTACTAAAAAATAAACACTTATAAATTTATTTAATAAATTAAATATAAGATTTTTCATTATTTTCGTATTTTGGAATCAATAGCGTGTTTATAATATTACCTAAATTTAAAATAAGAAATAATAAAAAGGAATAATGAATGATGTTAATTTCAATTAAACTTTCTCTTTTATATGTATATAGGCGTGTTTTCGAACTAAGCGAGTTTGCACCGACCTGAGTTAGATTAATAACGTCACATGCTTTACTATTGGTTGATTATGTGCTCAATCAGTACAGAATGTGATATTATTAAAAAAAATCTATGTCGATGCAAACCCGTTCGGTTCGAAAATACTAATAGCAGAACTTCTCTCTGTCAATAAGATGCTTACTTTTGTGTTTCCAGCTCTAATACAATACACACGCTCAACTTCACATGAGTTACGATCACAAACATAAGAGTTTTCTGTGACTGAACTAGTGTATACTTTTGGAACTTAAAGTGATTTTGATATTTTTTTTAAAGCGAAAAAAAGAATTTTAGAATAATCTAACGCAGGAACAGAAACGTTTGTTTCACTTCAATTTATTGCACTAATTCAGAGAGTGCAGCAATAAAAAACAGACCTATAGTATATCGGTTATGACTAGGAAATGGAAAGTTAGAATTTTTAAAAGTAATAAGTTACTCATTACTTGAGAAAGTAACTTTTTTAAAATCGATGACTATCAATCATAGCAGATAAGCCTAAGAGCTTTCTAGTCTCAAGTGCTATGCATTGTAAAAAATTTTTGTGTAAAATTACAACTATTATATAGGGGTAATTTTGAGACCCACTATAATAATTATAAACGCGTTTGTAAATTTCCAATATGAAAATAAAATAATTTTTTGATTTTAACTAAGCAGATTGCGGAAGTACAATTACAATGTGTATGTATAGTTATAGGAACGATAATATGACAATACATTTCGCACTATATATTAGGACTGTTTTCTGTTCCTGTACTAGACTCTTCTAGAACTCTCTTTCTCGCTTTCAACTTTCGACAAATATCAAACGTATATCTATCTCGTTTTAAGTTCCAAAAGTGTACACTAGTTTAGCCATAGGAAACAGATCTATTATTATACACTTAATAGCAATACGCGAAAAATTACTATTATAATTAACTATATGATGAAAAGTTAGATGAGGTGAAAGGGGAAATAATAAGGAAATTATGGAAAGAGAGAGAGGTAGCAAAAAGAATAAGAGAGATGAAGGAATCAAAAGAGGATAAGGAGGAAATAGAGGGAAGATACGGAGAGAAAAGAAAAGTAAGATAAACTAAGTGAGATATAAATATAATGTGATAATAATAATAGACGATGCGATTGTGATATAGAGATAATGTATGTATGTATTGAAAGAGAGTATATAACATTAGAAGATAACTAAAAGAGAAAAGCGGATAAAGCGAAAAGAAATAAAATGAAATAAAGTAGATAAAGAAGCGAAGTCAGAGGGTTTAACCAAAAAAGTAAAAAAGTAAAGGAATAAGCAAACATTTTTATAATAACATATGTGCGATAGCTTCCGAACGAGATATGAATGTATGAATGAGTTAAGAATTTATGTAAACCAAGTCTCCTTCTTGGCTGTAAATATGCTGAAGTATATGTAATAAATTCTATTCTAACTATAAAAATATGAATAACAGAATACTTTCACACATAGTAAAAGACACAGTCAAAAATTTTTAACGATTTTAGACTAGTGTCGTCCATGAGACCGAGCATCGCGCTTTATGACCAGCAATGAAATGAGGAATGGGCATGAATATCGATATCGATATTTCAATTTTAAGCCAAAAAAAGACTTTGGCTCTACATTAAATAGTTTTCAATCCAAGAACAATAAATTCATGATGGAACAGATAGATAGCATTTATTATTTAGCAGAAATCTCATATTAGACGCCTATCTCATAATAGAGAGTTTTCCTCTATATCTGTTCACTTAAAACAAAGTTGGGCATCTATCATGGAACAAGTCGGAATGGATTCCGATCAGAATTATTCAATTATTCCCTAAATTTCTATTGTATTTTCTAGAAAAAATTCCGATCAGAATTCATTCCGACATGTTTCATGATAGGTACCTTGTTCAGGATCGGATACTTTTGGCTTGAAATTAAAACAGTATTCATGCCTATTACCTACTTCATTACTACTTTATTGTAAAGCTCGGCGCTTGATCTCAAAAGTGATACTAGTCTGAAATCATTAAAAAAAGTTTTTGACCTATGTTTGTTATGTTTAAAAGTTACTAATATTATATATATATATATATAAAACGTATATATAAAATGTAAAATTCATATATTTTTATAGTTAAATATATTATGAATAATATTATTTTATAATATTAATAACAGAATTCTTTTAAACATAATGAATATGTCAAAAACTTTTTCAGACTAATCTGAGATAGAGCGTCGCATTACGATAAAACAGCAATGAAGAGTTGGTAAGAAATATGTTTTAAATTATAATACTTTACTCATATTTGAAGCATTAAAAACATATTTAAGAAGAAACTAAGAAAGAAATAATTTAGTCTTAAAAAAAAACATCTTTGCCAAACTTGCAATGAAGTGACGAGCAGGAATGGTAATAAATACGAATACCGATACATATTTTAAATTCAAGCCAAAAGTACCCGATCCTGAACAACTCTGACTTAAAATATAAAGAAATATATTACAAATTTGCAAGAATTTATAAAACGAGACTTTATGAAAGAAAGCAAAAGTAAACTGAAAATTCAAACCTTTATATCTTTCTAATCATTATTCTTAACAAATTGTAAATAAATTGTTATAACTAAATATAATTAACGAAATGAAAAAAATGCATTTCATGTAAAAATGTAAAACTCTGAAATAAAAATGTTTAAAGAAAAAATATAATTCAATATCTTAAAATTGATATTCCAAACTACAAAAAAAAATAGTTCAAGTGTCGATTGTCCAAAAAGTTTACTTATTGAGTATTCTGAAAATGATGTTTTTTTAATATGCATGAATGGCTATACATGGAAGATATATTGCATTTACATTTTAAACAATCCATTTTATTATTGCTATTATGTTAAAAAAACTTATAATTTATTAGGAAAATGTTCTTTATAACATTACAGATAGCATAATATATAATATTACTGATAACATTTAGAACAAGGGTATCAAAAATCATGTTTATTAAGAGCTATGTGTTGTTTTAGGATTAAGTTCTTTTAATAATTCATGAAATATTCTCGCAATACAACTGAGAATTAGTTGAAAATATAGAAAAAAATTTTTTAGTTACAAAAAATGTACACTCTGTACACATCATTTGTGACCCAGAGATGAACTTTGAAGTTATGCCAGTTAAAAGATACGCATGAATTGAAGCTAGTAATGCACGAAACTTGTTCTTTAGATACCAAACATTTTTTAGGAATAGAAGAGACTCGATACTTGACCAGATTCTCTTAGTATTTCAAACAAAAAAAGAAATGCGCAGGATACGAATGACCCAGAGATGTTAAAGATTAAGATTAATATGTATGTAGAAAAATTTTTACGAAAATTAATGATAAATACAATTACAGTCAAAACCTTCCTAGTTTTTAGCCGGAGAGCTGAAAAGCTTAGGCTTTTTGAAGAATCTCCAGTTCTCCGGCAGAAGGAAAATGGAAATTCCGGCTAATCGTTTTGATGACCTTTTTAAGAGCACTATAAAAAAGTAATAATGATGCCAGAATCTCAACCAGAAGAGCTATCGAACTCCACCAGAACATTACTCAAATAGTGACGATGATATATGTAAAGATTAGATAAGAATGTATGAGAAAAAAATCATAATACAAAAAAAGTAAATATTATCCTCATGGCTGAGCAGAATACTTGAAAATGTAACAGCAAAGTATCTTACTATAACTGTATCTAAAATATTTTTTGAAAAAAATCTCAATATACATTCTCGTTTCTTAAAAATATAATGGAAATGAAATGCACGCGCAAGATAGCCGTTTTCTAACGTTAAATAAATTTAACCTATACAAAATGTATTGACAGAGAGATGTTCTTTAAATATTTTAAATGCAGTTACAGCAGGGCACACGTTTTTACCTGTAAGCTTCCTTTATCGTAAACCTGAGATGTAGTCATATTGCTACTGCTTGCTTTTTGGAGATGTGAGGTATTTTGAGCGGGAGCTACTGAAGTCGATGGAGTATTTATTGTTGCAGGTACTACTAATGTCTTTGTAGTATGGGCGTTAACAACTTTAGTGCCGTCTTTTTCTATAACTTTTGATACATATGGTTCTATTCGAGGTTCTATTTTTACCCGATTAATCGATTGACACATTGAGTGTTGCAGAGGTACAACACGCATATCAGATGCTCTTTTGTCATTTGATGATGTACCTGGTAACGTAGAAGTTGGTGCAAATAAACTTGAATTTAGATGAGACACATAAGTGATCGGTTCATTCTGCTTTATTACATTAGGACAGGTAGTAAATCTTCCTCCTATTGGATATTGGCTTATAGATGAATTTGAATTTGGACGAACAATTATTGGTTCATTTAGATTTGGACGAACAATTATTGATTTATTTTGTTTCATTATATTAGTAGGTCCCATCCTTTTAGGTATAGAGCATATAGGTATAGAAACAGCTATTGGTGACATCGTAGATATTGTATTTTTAGTAAGAACTTTTAATTTTGGCGGTGATAAAATAGGAGTTATCGGTTTATGAAACTTTTCACCTTTTTGTGTCGTGAAATTACTTTGAAGCGTTAACTTTGCCGGTGCCACAACTTTATGAACTTTATAGAATTCTGAATGCCTATCAGATTCATACGTTTTTCTAACTTCCGAATGCTTGATCGAATGCAATTCTTTACTCTCTGTACCGACTTCTGGTGACGCGAATATCTTTGAATTTGGAACAATGTTAATATTGCAAGTATTGTTATCGTCTTTAACGGATGTAATAGATTCATCCGATTTATGATTTAACTTTGTTTTTTTGAAAGGTATTATGCTTTGGTTGATATCGTTCATATTATTTGAAGCTGCTACTTCTGACATATTCTTTTTCATTTCATTATTCTCATCTGTTGATGATACAAGTGCTATATTTTCTAATTTTCTATTATCAGCAATTACCTCGTTTTTCATACACAACTGTTCTTTTTTTCTCAAAGCTGTATTTGTATCTACCTGATCTTCTTGTAGAAAAATATGGAAATTCTTTTTATGATCTATAAAGCTTATTTTATTCGAACATTTTCGTTTCTTTAAGAATTGTGGGAGCGGTCTTTCCTTTGGTAATAAATCCCACAATGTAAGCTCAATACGATTTCTTGCAAATCGATTAATAGTAAGCTTTCTATGAATCGAATGATAACTATATCTAGGTAGAAGAGCATGTATTAATTTTGCATCTTTTATTAATTCATCTATATTGGACAAATTGTAGAAATCTTTCATGTCAAGGAATGTATCTTCAGAATATTTACTGCACTCTGGTGTTGAACTATTTAATCGTTTCTTCTTTATGTATAAAACATTATTATTTTCCTCAATGTCTTTAGGCCTATCTTGAATCTTATTGTTAACATCTGCAGCTTGTCTGTCATTGCCAGTACTTAGAACATGAATTTCGTTTATCAACGATATATTATCATTATTACCATTCAGCTGGGAAGCAGAACATGAAAATATAGGTTCATCAATAATTGTTTTATTTACAGTATTGATAATTGAGATATCATCGTAAGAATCATTAGAATTCTCAAAAGAATTCTCAAAAAAATTCTCAGTAGAATTCTCAGAAGAATTCTCAGAATTCTCAAAATTTTTAAAAAAATCACCAGAGGTATCGGTATCAGAATCAGATGAGACATCAATTACTTCAGCACTTGGGTGGTTTCTAGAAAAATTCATTGCTTTTGGTTGTTTAAAAACTTTGTTAGCACTATGTGGTATCTCTGATGGATCTTCCATGGAGGTGGATGGTTTTGGTGATAGTGGTAGATCTATATTTGTGTCCATGGAAGTCGGCATTTCAAGTTGTTTATACATTTTATCAGCACTGTGGTATTTACTGTAGTGCACTGACTGAATTTCCACAAATGATTCTGGATCATTAGTATTACGCATTTCTGATTGAATTTCCATGGTAGATACAGGATTATCAGTACTATGGCACATTTCCGATTGAACTTTCATGGTAGATGATCCTGGATTGTCAACCGCTTCAGCATTTATACATTCTGAAAAATTCGACGTTCTGGATTGTTCAGAAATATTATCAGTACTAACAGATATCTTTGATTGAATTTCCGAGGTGGCTAATTTGGAATTATCAAATATTTCTGCTGAATTTACGCATTCCACAAGAGAATTCAGAGTTTCAAGTTGTTCAGAAACTTCATCAGTATTATGGCCTATTTCCGACTGAATTTCTGTGATGGATGATTCTGGATTGTTAAACACTTCGGTATTTACACTCTCCACAAAAGAATATGGCATTTCCGGTTGTTCAGAAACACAATCAGTATTATGATTTATCTCTGATGGAATTTCCTCTATGGACGATCCTGGATTGTTCCTAATATTCAAACAGTTTTGAATATTATTGTTCTCTTTATTCAAAATAATGTCCATCATGGAATGGAAAGCATCCATATCATATATCGTGTTTTTTAAAAGATTCCGTTCTTCCATTGATAAATGTTGTCTTTGAATCAATAGATTATCAAAAACATCATTATCCATAACTTTGCACAATCCTGTAAGAACAAACATTATAAAATTGAAATTATACAAATAATATTTTTAGAAAATATCCTACAAATTATAGAGAATAAGTATATATCTAGTGATAAATAAGAGTAGTGTAAAAATCAAATTTTACGAACATGTACGACAAAGTTAACGAGACGAAAATTGACAAAAAGATGATGAGATAATATGAAGGTTACGTAATAGTTTGTTGACGTTTTGTTTGCAACTGCAACAAATTTAAAGCACTTCAACACTTTAATTGCACAAACGATTAACTTCAAGAAGTACAACAAATGGTCCGAAGAAACTACTTAAGTATGTAGATATATATATATATATATATATATAT